CTGAACAGCTTAACCATGCCTATTTAACCACATTCAGTGCAACTAAAGTTTGCAATTTAAAAAGAAGAAAAAGAAATATCTATTTTCTTTAAAATGAAAAGTGGACCCCAGACTGCATAAATCATGGATATATTTGTATCATGTGAGTACCTGTGTATCCCACTGGACATGGAAGAACATTTCGCAGTTAAACACAACAAACAAAAGAAGAACAGAGATGTTAATAAATATTGGTAGAAATTATATGTCCTTATTTATCCCAGTATGCAAGGTATGTTGCAGCATCACTGTTTTAACAATTCACATACAGTTACCTTTTTAAAGAATTTATGCTACAAACATAAGTTGTTGGGTTTTTTCCTATATGCCAATGACACTTTGTGGAGAAATTCTGAATTGCATTTAGGAAAACAGCTAAAACTTGTTTGTGTGCTAAACTTCACTACTTTAGCTACTTTTACTGAAAACAATCAGACTACTCATGCACAAATGAGCTAAGCTTCTGCATAATCTTTCCTAAGTAAGGGCCTAAGAAGGAAAAGTTAGACAGGTTGCTTATATAGCCCACATGCATGAATACGTACTTTGTACTCCCTGGGTAGCACACAGTAACCTCGTTAAAGAAGGAAAGGGAAATAAAATAATTATAAACCACAGAGAACAAGCTTAAATTGTTTTGAGACATTAAGGAAAAAATATTTTGGTAGATCACTTGCTGTGCTTTATAGTTAACATATTTTATAAAATCATTCAATGTTTGTATGTATCCGTATGTACATATACAAAATATTTTTTAGAAGTATTTCTCTTTAGTACTTCAGAATGCAGAAGTAACCTGTTATAACAATCACAGCTAAAAGGAAAAACCAAATGCAATACAAGATCCTGATGTAGTTGAAATCAATGACAGAATCCCTAATAGCTTCGAAAAATACAAAATAAGTCCATGAAAGCTTCACAAAAGGAATAATCAACATAATTATGACTTTACCAAAATTTTTTTTATGGGGAGGGAAAACCCTTTCAAGTTTTAAAAGTTCAAAGACCCCTGCTCTATCCCTCTTACTGGTAACTTGGGAAAGGCAAGGGTGAAATGGTGATGGAAGTTTCCCTCCCAATTTAATTCAGCAAAAAATAGCTGAACAACACTACAAATAATTGCTTTTCAAATTTGTAGTGCGCACAACATTCTTCAACAAGATACCTCACACAAATACAGAAGATGGCAGCAGAACTCTGAGAAACATTTATTAAAAGGTACCGAAAATACAGAAGAGAAAAACCATGCAGAATTACTTTTCACATGTTTTATTTTCCATGTTAAATTCTTAGTGAGTTGTAAATTCCATGAAATATTTAAAATACCCAAATTCCTTTACCGTTTTGTAAGTCTAAAGATATGAGGCCTAATAATGATTGACATTGTCCTTTACCAATCTGAAGCTTTAACAGCACAATTGACAGTTCAGTGTTTCAGCATCAGGTAGAAGCTTGATATTAGAGGGGAAAAAAAAAAAAAAAAAAGATGAAACAGAAGAACAAATTTGTCTGCTGAAATACAGGAGGAAAAGGTTTGGCTTCCTTTTAAATAAGCATTGTTATATAAGAAAATATTTAATGGGTCCTAGGTTCAGACACATTATGTCAGGCTTGATCTACAACTGATTCCCGTGACTCCACCACCCATCTTCAAGTTTTCAGTAATACTTACTTGTTTTCATGGTATCAAATACTGCAGTTGCTCTTATACCTTTATTAATTGGTTTTGAAACCCAAGAATAAAAACACTGCAGAACTGCAAAATAGCATTGACACTAAAATTCGGAAAGTGGATACAGATTGAAAACTATTTAAAAAAAAAATAAAATCTTACATTCACCAGCCACTAACTTCATCATCATCTGGGATTCCTGAACGTAAAGCTGTTTCAGCTAATAATGTGTGATTTCATAAGACTCTGTCTCCATGAGTGGAGGATTGGGGTGCCAGTTTCCTTTTACATAGTGTATTATTACTGGAAGAACTCCTTTATGAAACCCCAGCCTTAAAATTGAGACATCACTCCATATGCACACAAAAGTATCTCTGAGCACAACGAAATAAATGATCACTATAGAAACATTTGTTAAATATTTTAATAAATATGGGTGTAAGATACTCGGGTACAGAAAGGGAAAACACTTCCCTGTTATCAGCTGGGAAATCCTCATGTTAGGTCAGTGAGATATCAGATACCTTTTGCAAAAGAGAAATTACATAATGTACACTGTAGTCACCCTACCTGTAATTCCAAAGAAACATTAAACACACACACAGAGTGAATGGATTACTTTGTTTAAATTAAATTAAATAGTTTCACCACTAATAGCTGAGAAACAGTCTTGTAAGAAGTTGAACATACAGAGAGCAGTTTTACAACTCAGTCCAAGAATAACCAGGAGCCTATCCACGTAAGGATAACCACTGCAAATGGAGAAAGCTTAAAAAAAGAAAAAAAAAAAAAAAAAAGATTGAAATGCAACTATTAAAAAGATATATTCAAATATAACCCTTCCAAACTGCTTTTGGCTCTCCCCACTATTTCAAATGCAGGTATCTTCAACTTGTTTGTTTACTTGTTCTTAGAAAAACAACATAAAAACAAGCAATATACTGAATATATTAACCGGCCTCCTGCCCACATCACTTTTATTTAGAGGAAGACTTCATTCTGGGAGTAAGATTTAAGGGTCTGAAGTTAAATTATAACCCTTTTGTAGGGAGGAGGGAAGGTAACAAACAACTTTTAAGGGCATATTCCTCCTTTCTACACAAACATGTTGTTTGGAATGGGGTGGGAAGAGTTTTACCATCATTACAACAGTCATAAGCTGAGGCAACCATGAAAGTTAGTGTTGATGTTATAATTGAAACACCTCTGTTCAGCGTTAATCTGTAGTACCAGTAAGTGATTCATAACAAACACTGTGACAAATCATGAGGAGCAATGAGTTTTGTATCCTCCCTGGTATCTGGCTTTTCCAAGTGAGCTGGCTCACAGCTGTCCCAGGGCCTGGGTGGTTGTAGGGGGTTGGAACAAGCAAAGTGGATGAAAAAGATTTTATTTTTTATTAAAAACTGAAACTCTCTAAGTTAAAGGAGGCATTTTGTTCACACACCTTGAGAGAAGAGGGCACGTGTTCCCCATTTCTGACAAAAAAAAAAAAAAAAAAAGAAAGAAAGAAAGAGCAGAGGCTTTGGAGGGTGGTCTTCACACCCACCACCCTGGACCTTCCCACAAAGAACAAGCAGCACAGCAACGAGGAGAAAGAGAAAAGCAGCGAGAAGCCACGGCTGTGTGGCGGCGGCGGCTTGAAATTTACCTGGAAATCAGCCAATATCATTTCTCGGTCCATGTTGGACGCCATTGCAGCCAGCTGCGTCCCCGGCTCTGCTCGGACCCGCGCACCTGGAGCTGCTGCCGGCGAGGACGGGGCAGGGTGGGAGCTAGGAGCTCATCGAGGCGCCGGGTTCCTCACGGGCTCCCGCGGCGCCCCCGGGCCGCCCTGCCTGGCAGCTCCGCGGCGGCCGGGGCGCGGCGGCGGGCAGAGGAGGGGAGGAGAGAGGCGGGCAGGGGGCCGGGAGCGGGCCGGGGCCGGGAGCGGGCAGCGCTGCCTCAGCTGCTGGCCCGGAGAGCAGCAGCAGCAGGAGGAGGAGGAGGAGGCAACACCGCTCCCTCCCTGTCTCCACAGCGCCTGTCGCACATTTTGCCTGTCATTGAGGTCGCAAAGAGGCGCTTTGCGGCCGGCACGTGACCACCCTCCTGTCAAGCGCTGGCGAAGCCGGGGGATGGAGCGGGGGGGGGAGGGAGGGAGGTGGAGCCGCGCTTTTCCGGCAGCCCCGCCGTCACCGCGGCCCCGCACCGGCGCCCGCAGGAAGGGAACGGAAAGGCGGGGGGGGGGGGCGGGGAACGGGGACGTGCGCGAGGAGCCCGCGCCGCTGCCCGGCGGAACGTGCCGGCGCCGGGTCGCGGGGCCACGGGCGGGCGGGCGGTCCGCGCGAGCGGCTGAGGGGAGAGCGCGAGGGCCGCTCCTGAGGGGATGGGCCGCCTCAGCCCCCCACCAACACCGGGAGCGGCGGCCGCGGCCCCGGCCCGGCCTCCCCCGATGCTCCGAGCGGGCGGAGCACCCCGACCTCTAGCTGGGTCCGGCCGGGCGCAGCGCGGCCCCGGGGGCTGACACCCCGGCCCCGGTTCCGGCGGGTGGCGGCCCCCCGGGGCCCGGCTGGGCTGCGCCGCCGGCTGAGGCCTAACGGAGCGGCGGCGCCCTGGCTGCAGCGAGCCCGAGGCCGGGCTCGCCATCCAGGGAGGGGGGGGGCGGGGGAAGCGGTCTGCTGCAGCAACCGGCCGGAGCGCGGCTCCGCCTCCCCGTGTGGGAGCGGGGCGTCCATCCGCCCCGCCGGGACAGGGGAGCGGGCGGGATCGCGGTGGTACCGGGGCACAGAGCGAATCGGTCCCCAGCGCCCTTCGCTCTGCCCACCCGTAGCTTTGTGCTCGCGGAGTGACCCGAACCTCCCCGGGGCCAGGGGCTCGGTAAAACGGTGATTTTTCCCTGTCTTCGTACTTCTCGCAAAAGGAGGAAAAGCATTTTTCACAGGTTTCTGAGCCAACAGACCGTGATCTGCACAGCGGCCCTCACTCGAGCTTAGCACTCCAGCACTGTAAGATGTAATTGCATTATATACCACATATAAATGTTTGATGCTTTTTTTTTTTTAATTATGCAAATCTAGCTGTCACTTATGCTTTTTAAGTCTGCCTCTTACAACCTGATGCTCTTTGCCTACCCCCTCAGCACTCGCGTTAAACACAAACACGCATTCGGACACCCGTTTGCTAATTAGTCCAACATGTTTTGCTCTGCTCTTTGTATGGGTATCACAGCTACCTAAGGTCACAGAGACATCAAGCACGTTGCCTATTAGCTAATAAACCTGCGTGATGATACCACTGAATGGAGTTATTTTGCCGTTTTTAGCAAACACAGCTCTTTATTGTTTCTCTCGTCTGCCCGTGAGGTTTTTACACGAGTTGTTCGGAGCCTGCGAGCTCCCTGCTGCCTGCCGCAGCCGCCGGGCTGGCCCCGGGGGGAGCTACGGGGGGGGCCCAGCGCGACCACCCAGCGCGGCGGGTCCGGCGGCGGGGAGGCACAGCGAGCAAGCGCTGCGGGCGGGTAGGGGCGCATGAAAAGTTAAAGTGTCCCTCTAGGAGAGTCCGTGTTCCCCAGCAAACTACCTCCGGGAATTGTTTCAAGCCTGCTTGCGGCCGCTGCCGCGGGTGCGGGTGTCTGGCGGCGGCCGAACCGCGCAAGGTCTCCGGGCGGGCTGAGGCCACACTGAAACGCCGCTTACGATGCAAAGCCAGAGTGTCAGAGAAGTTGGATTTCGTATTTGATCGTGTTCCTGCCCTAGTTTGTGTTGGCAGGGTTTGCCAAGAGGCTTTTATTGCCCGCTGACGTTAGCTTAACAATTCCAGCTCCCCACCACTGTCCGGAGGGATGATAAAGTCATTGCCCTCACACCTGCCCCCGTGTTTTGTTTTGATTTTTTTCCAGTTTGATGTTACAGACAGTTCTGTACTAGGTACGAGCTATGGTGCAATGCCAGGGACAGCCTAAGCTAAATTACAAACAAATCCACCCACACATTACTAGAGAGTAACTATAATAAAGGCTGAAAAGCGAGTTTTAACAATTGGATTAAAGCCAATCAATTCCTGGCACGAAGTGAAGCTATAGGTGTGTTGTCAAGATTAGTTACATGGCGTTCACGACTAGTACAGTCATATTTTAAATAATGATATCTATATTAGATCAAAACAGGAAGGATTTGATCCAGAACGTGAAGAAAAGGTGAAAAGCTGCACGTGCCCCACATTGCAGGAAGTTCACGTTCAAGTCACAGTGAAAGTTTCTATTCTCCTTCTCACAACCCCTTACTCCCAGCCACTCTCGGTGGGTTTTTTTCCTCCAGCGAGTATCAGACAAATTAGAGAGCTGCGGGAACACTCACTTATTTTACTCCTTGCAACGCCCGGTGATAACATCCAGAAGGTATTTTTTCTGCTGATTTTGGAGCAACTCTCTCTGGTTTAGGAGAAGCACCTTTATCATTCCGGAGAGGAAATGATCAGGACTAACAAGTTGTTTTCTGCAAAGGTTTTTGACAGACCCAGGCAATGAAGGAGGTATGACAGCATTTTCTGGCCGGGCAACTTTACTTGCAGGAGGCCTGCTGCACCCTAGCTGCACTTTACTTAATTATTTTTGTTATGTGGCATGATTAACAGAAGATGGGGGCTTTGTTCTGAACTGTACAACAAAAAAAAATTATGGGGGACTGTTGTAAGACTTGCAGGTCTAGTTCTGCAATAAGTTAGCAACAGGTAACACTACCAAAGTCTGTGGATTTTAGACACTGATGAGTCACAAAATAAGCCACTTCTAATCCATCTGACTGAATATTCGAGGTTTTGCATATAAATTCCTTCCTTATGCAGAGAAGCAACTATATTTGAATACATGGATGCTATTTATATACAACTATTTCTAGAGTTAACTTGGGGGGAAATTATCATTCATATTTTTGTTTACAAAACTGTTAGCACTATTACTTCTGGCCGAGAATTATCATAACGAGGCCCTTAAAAAGGCGCTTCCCCCCCCCCCCCGCTTCAGCAGGAGCGCGAGTGGGGGTCAGTTGATCATTTGAGCATAGCTGCTTTCCCTGCTCCGCGCGTAGGCGGTTCGTTACTTGTCACCTTTGTCTTTTCACAAACAAGCGTGGGTGGGGGAATCAGTCCGGGAAAATGTAATTGCGCAGCAAGAAGCAGCCGAAGCTGGAAGGAGATGCAGAAGTCCTACAGACTTCCTTCAGCTGCCCGGGCGGCAGGTTCACCCCTGTAAATCCGGTTCTGTCTCTGGCGGCGGCGGGGGGGGGCAGCCAGGCCCCGGCCCCCCCGCCCCAGCCCGGCTGCCGCCGGCGGAGCCGATGGCACTGCCACACCGGTCCCCTCCCCAACGCGCCTCCCCGGGCCGCCTCACGCGTGTTTACATTCAAATTCACTTTCCCGTGGCGTCCACGCAGAAATCAGACGAGCAGCTTGCCCCTGCGGCCGACGGGTTCCGTACGCTTGTCAGGGAGCCGTGGCACTGCAGCTTACCTCCGGGGGTTCGCTGGGGCAGAATTCAGCCTTCCCACGGTCCCTGAAACTTAAAGTAATCCGGCCGTTAAAGCACTTTTAAGGCAATAAATGCTGTTAGGCAGAGTGGCAATGAAATCTCCATACTGTCCCATCGGCACTCCTCCGCCCTTTGAAGGAAAAGCCAAGCCCTCACATCTTCTCGTTGCCTGGGTGCGTTTCCCCCCTCAAAATGTCACTTTCAAATCCATCAAGGACACCAGAAACGCGGGAAGCGGGGCGTGCTGCCGCGGGCGGTCGCCTTCCACCGCTAAGACAACTTGACATTGACCCTTCATCCTTGACCTTGTCCTTAGGGAGAGGACCCCGCGGCGCTGCCGGGGTGGACCCGGGCCCCGCAGCCGTTGCCCCGCGGGGGCCGAGCGGGGGCGCCGGGGCCGGGGCCGCTGCCGCTCCCCCCTCGGGCAGGTGGAGACCTCCCGTGGGGAAGCGGCGGGCAGAGCCGCGGCGGGAGGCCGCCCTCCCACCCACCGAGCTCCCCGGGTGCTCCCGCAGGGCTGCGGCGGCTCCCGGTGCTAAAACCTCCTTTTTCTTTCTTTCTTTCTGTTTCTCCCCCCCAACCCCCCCCACCCCCACCCTTAGGCCTCAGCAGCGCTCCTCCTAAAAGCACCCTGACTGTTATGGCTGTGGCGGGGCAGCGCCGTGCCCGGGCTGCACGGCAAGGGGAACGACACAAGGCGTTGCGCTGCTGCGGGGCCGGGGCCGGGGCCTGCGGAGCCGGGGCCTGCGCGGCCGGGGCCGGGGCCGGGGCCGGGGCCGGGGCCGGGGCCGGGGCCGGGGCCGGGGCCGGGGCCGGGGCCGGGGGGCGGGGGCCGCCGCTGCAGGCCTTCCTGCCCGGCCGCGCCGCAACTCCGCCGCGCCTCCTTAAATCTCTGCCGTTAAAATGTGGGCGGGTGTTTCAACTCAAAAAGCGCTCAAATTTTTTTTCTTTTCAAAAAAAGCTGATGAGGTTAAAAAAAAAAAAAAAAAAAGGGGGGGGGAAGGAAAAAAAAAAAAAAAAGAGAGAGAAACCGGCTTCGTGTCTGTAGGAAACAGAAGTAGCGATTGTTTGTGCTTAAAAAAGGGGGAGCGCAAAGTCGCGGGCGGAGGCAGCGACAGCGGACCGGCAAGTGCAGCTTTATTTCGCGAAGTTGAAAGCGGAGGCGAGCGCCCGCTGTCACTGAGCGCCGGGCGGCTGCCGAGAGCCGCCGGGCCGGGGCAGCGGCGGGCACCGGGGCAGCCCCCGCCCGCAGCCCGCCCTCCGCTCCCCGGCAGCGGCGAGAGGCGCGGCTGCCTCCGCGGAGCGCCCGGCGGAGCGCGGCCAGCGACGGCGGGGCCCCGGCGGGCGGCGGACACGGCCCCGCTCCGCGGCTCCTCCGCGCCCTGAGCGCGGGCGGCGGTACGCGGCAGCCGGCCCCAACCCCCTCTTCGCCTTTCCCCCCCCTCCTTCGCTCTCCGCCCCCCCTCCCGCCCCGCTACCGCCGGGCCTGAGGAGCCGCCGCACTCCTGGATGCTCCGGAGCCGCCGGCGGCGGGGGCGGCCGCCGGCCGGGATCGCGCCCGCCCGCTGCGCGGAAGCTGCGCGGGGCCGCGGGAGTGAAGCTGCTGCGGGGAGCCAGAGCGCCGAGGGAGCGAAGCCGGCGGCCCGGCAGCCGCTGCCGCCGCGCCCGGCCCTCCGCGGGCGCGGCTCGTCCTTCCCGTCCCTGCTCGGCCCGGACTAGAGGAGGCGGTGTGGGATGAAAGGGGGGATCCCGAGCGGGAGTTGGATGCACACTGCTACGGAAGACTTTTCCTCGGAGCTGTTGCTGCTAAGTCTCAGATCCCGACTGTGAACAGGGTGGGTTGTCTTCTTCTTCAAAGATCTCAGGTCTGAGTGAGTCTCCGGTGTACGTGTATATATGTTACCTATAACATATATCATATATTGCATAGCTATTAATCTATTACCCCCCGAAAGTGGCCAAAGTCTTTAATAGGAGTTACTCTATATGTGGAAGCAAAGAAATCTTCTTTCAAGTGGAGCTGCAGTTTTGCTGAATAATCACGTGTGAGTTAGGGGCGGGCTCTTGGCAAGGAGGTTTTTTACGAGTATTTACTACAAGGTCTACTCCAGAAGATTAACCATCCCAATCCTTCTGTCAGTCTCCGATGCCATGCCTGGTTAAAAAAAAAAAAAAAAAAATCTCATCTTTTTTCCGATCGTCAGTCACCCTAAAGAATGGCCGAGCCTTCTGGGAACGAGCTGGCGTCCGCGGCTGCCAAGGGGGACCTAGTGCAACTTACTAATTTGTTGCAAAAGAATGTAAACGTCAATGCACAAAATGGATTTGGGAGGACTGCGCTGCAGGTTGGTATCCAGAGAGGGAGAAAATATTTCATCACTGGTACCTACGTGACCCGGGTTTCCAAAAAAGACAACGTTTTAAACAGGCTGGTGGATGAAATTCGAGTGGTTTTTCAAACTCGTTGGATGCCGTATTTTATAACTTTAGTGGCTCCAACTCCCTAAAATGACGTACTTGAAATAAAACTGGTCAAAACCATTATTTCAGTCGGGGATCACCCTCAATGTCAAACGGGCTACGAGTTTGCTAATATTTTGTAACTTCGTGGGGAGGAGGCAAGGAATGAAAGAGCTGAGATGAAAAGAAATCAGCTTAGGTGAGCAGGATTTCATAGCAGGTCTGTAAACACAAATGTGCTGTTCTCTGAAGCTTAGGATTTGTCCTTTTTTCCTCCTTTTTTTTTTTTTTTTTTCCTGCAATATGCTTTTAGAGCGGGACTTGTCTCTGTTCTGGGGTGTGCTGTAGATGGTACTTTTCCTTTATAAGCTGTTTGTGAGGAATGACCTTTCTCATTGGGAAGCATGCTGCTCACAACCGAGGACCTTCGACGCACATTAAGAGTTAGCCCTACGACTTAGGGTTCCAGCTGAATCACTTGCTTTTTCATTCATAATTAAGGCTTAAAATTGTGCTTTTTTAGATCGGCTATCACAGCGCTGGTTCCAGCTATTTCCTTTCTGATCGTATAGGGTGCTCTGTCCTAATTTTTAAGTGTGTGGCTGTGCAGGCAGGAGTTGGAACTCGTCCAACTGCTTACTATTGGAGCTGATGAAAGATTTTGCTTTTAATAATATCAGATAATGATGGCGAAAAGGCTAGGGTACTTACCGAATACTGAAAGAAGTGATTTATAAATCCGGAGGAAAAAATGTGTGGTTATCTGTACTTAAGGTATAAGTAATGAAATGTGGAAGTGGAGCTATAGGTCTTTTTAATTTCATACATTAGAAAAATTGTTTCTTAACTCCTCTCCCCCCCCACACACACACACCCGAAACCGTGATAATAATTTCTGAAACTGACTTTTTAAACAGCATAGAGCCTGCGAATGAACTCGAGATATTTACAGCTTTTTGGCTTAGCTTCAAAATGTTAGAGCTGGAAAATAAGCACCTCTTGCTAAAAAAGCAGGAATGACCCTTTTTTGACAATTTTGCTGAAGCTAGAGATCTGTGAGCTCCTCTCTGTCCTGTTAGCACCTAAATAGGGCATCGCATGGCACTGCAGGCACTTGCAGTAACTTTTAAGAGAGTGAAAGGATTTAAATTAAAAACTTACACAAACTAACTTCTTTAAGAAAGCAGGAAACATTTAGCCAGCTGGTTTATCCTGGGGACGAGGGCTGAAGACCGATTTATCCTACAGTATTTTTTATTTTTTTTCAATCTAAAAGCAGTTAACTGTCCGTATCTTGAATTAAGGCATATTTTACACAATGACATTGCAGCCAGCTATATTAAGCATGCATCCATGTCCTAACAATATTTCTTATCGCTGCCTAATCATAACTGAGTTAATGAACCACAACAAAAATCAAAACAGGAGAATCTGTCGACTTATTTTCAATATGTATCATCCTGAAATGTGCTGTGGGTGCGTGACCACGCTCGAAAGAGCTCTCTGTCAGTGCACTCTTCACAGTCGAGATAATCTCTCCATAATCTCTCTCTCAATTAAAATGGAGAGAATGCTCCTATGTTAATATCAATTAATTTATATTTTTACTCTGCATTTATGTGTAATTAAACAACTGCTCAGCTTGTCTTGTTCTGTACTTTTTATTTCTGATGAAGTGTACCTATGCAGGCCTCAATACATGTCCTGTCCTTATGCTCTTCATCAGATTTATTCAATTAATGCTTTCTCCTTCTTTGCCTCCCTCCCCCCAAGTGAAACTTTGCAAAATAAAGGGCATTTGGTGTACAGTTCCAGCCCATGTCCCAACAGCATCACCTTTTATATGATTTTTCTTCCCCCTGCATCTTTAACTGAAGCTTTCAGTCCCCTAGCCTGAACACAGAAAATTCCCACTTAAACCAAATATATGTTTTGAATTCACAAATAATACAGCTTGGGCTCTCAAAAAGAGATCAAAATGCCCAGATTTTACTAAAGAAAGAGAAATTACAATGCTCTTGTTTTCTTTTACATCGCTTCCATCTCTAGTCAGAAGTGAAAGAAATGGCACATGCGAAGCTGGAAGCCTTGGGGCACAGAGAAATCTCTTTCCCTGAATCCCAGCCTGTCTTATCTGCACTTTTGCTCTTGCCTGTAGATATAATACACCGAGCTGCTTTACGGTCCAAACACTGCAGTAATTATGTTTATTATAGCTTGATTTTCTTAAAAAGCCTAATACATATTTTTTACCAGGAGAGTTTTTCAGCAAATCCCTTGTAGAAATTGTACATTATGCTAAATTTAATGCACTGTAATGCTCCTTTATGCAGATAATTTTTTTTTTTTTAACTAAGATTTTCAAATTAATGTGTGGACGTTTCTAAGGGAAAAATTTTTTTTTTTTCGAATTTGACATCTACAATGAGACTAGTGACAAGAACAGGAAAATTCTGCCTGTAGGCTGGAGATTATACATTACCATGTTAATTTTTTGAAAGTCTTGGTGCAAGCAAAAAATTAGGAATTTAGGGGAAATCAGTGCAAGCTGTTAAGTCCCAAATAAGATAGATTTGCGTTCTAATTATGATAGTTTTATGACGCAATTGAGAAAATTCAAATAAGCTTTTTTTTTTTCCTGAGAGAAACAGTCAGAAAATCTAATTATTGTTGTTGATTTTTTTAAAAAAGGGACGTTTTTAACAACCAAATATAGCCACAGATTACTTAGAGTGAAATTATGAAAGTATAATATAATATACTTGTTTTAGAAGAAAACTTCTGGAACTTTGAAACATTCCTTTTAACTTCTCCTTTTTGGGTGACATAATGAAACACAAATATTGGGGAGAAAAATTTCTTCTAGCATTTATTTTTCTTAGCAGACAGAGCTATGGTACAGTCCAAATATTTGTTTTATGATAATGCACAGACAATGTAAACACCTGAAAGCTTATAAAAACACATTCTGCATTTGCTGTTGCTGAGGTAAAATATCTGTTCCTCAGAGACCCTATATTTGATGTTTAAATAGATTAAACAGTAATGCAAAGGTGTCTCAATACTTAGGCAAATAAAACCGAACCATACTTACTTTTCATATGTTAAGAAACTGAGATAACCCACGTCAAAAAAAAAAAAAATTGTTGTATCCCCATTCTACACCACCTATTTCAGACATTAATCTCTCTGAGACAGAAAGCCATTATCACCATCTTTCACAACTTCACCGAGTTTAATAAAAAATACTAGAAAAATAGGTGTCTCATTGGTTTTACAATGGGGCTCTTCTCTCTGGTTTAAGTGAGGATTGAGCCGTGGCAAAACCCAGAGTTAAGAAATGAGGTTCTAAGCCCAGTGCTGGAGCAAGTACCCCCCACGGTATTCAACTCTTCTTTTTCTTTCTTAGGTAATGAAACTCGGGAACCCTGAAATCGCCAGGAGGTTGCTCGTTAGCGGTGCAAACCCCAACCTGAAAGACAGTACTGGCTTCGCTGTAATTCATGATGTAGCCAGAGAGGGTTTTCTGGACACTTTGCAGACTCTGCTGGAGTTTAAAGCTGATGTTAACATTGAGGATAACGATGGCAACCTGCCCTTGCACTTGGCGGCCCGGGAGGGGCACGTGCGGGTGGTGGAGCTGCTGCTGGGCCATGCAGAGTGCAAGGTGGGCCACCAGAACAAGCGGGGGGCCACCGCCTACGACCTGGCCAAGCTCTACAAGAGATCCGCCGTGGTGAAGCTCTTGGAGGACAGCAGCTTCTTCCCTGCAGCCATGAATTAAACCGTGATTTAAACCCAAGGCATCTGCGCTCTCCTTTGGACACTACGGCTTTCAGCCACCCTTTCCCCTCACCCCCCCCCCTTTTTTTTTTTTTCTTCTCCCTCCTTTTTAATAACATTTGTTGCTACCTTACTTCTGTCATTTTTCTTGAACAGCTGTTAGCATAAGTCTCAAGAAAATCTAGAGGTGGGTTTCTAGACAATGGATATGTTTTAAATCCACACTCCCAGTGATTTCTTACACCTGCCATTTACGAAGGACTCATAGACTCAGCCATGTATATGTTGGTCGCTCATTCCTAGTTTTCCAGTATCAAGTTTTGCAATTTATATTAGGCCATTCATATTAAGTCACGAGAGCTACATAGTCACATGCTTAATGTTGCTGGACTTTTAAGAAGAGGAAATAGTTTGCTGTGATTTCTCCCACCTCTCAACGCCCCTCCCCCTCCCTTCGGTCAGGATTTTTTAAGTCCTGTTTTGGATTAAAACAGCCTTTTAAGGGGTAACCTGCAACTCCCTCCTCAGACAGAGCCTGGAGTCAAAGGCTGCTTGGCCTGAGGACAGAGGATGGCGCTTAGAGGCTTTGGGAAATAGCTGCATTTTGACATTAACAGGAGCTTGTAGAAGTAGGTCACTTACTTTCTAAATGTAGATGACACTTTTCCCCTTTGTGTATTTAAACTTTCACCAAGCTGGTTTTGTATTTAGTTACCAGAAACAGTGTAAGTGGTATTTTTTTGATTGCCAGAGGTTTTAAACAGCTCAGCTCAGTAGTTTGTATTTACTGTGCACTGAACAGGATGCTTTTTCTAGTTTCAAAACAAGCAGCAATGAACCATTGTCAGAGGCAAGAGGACATGAAGGCTGCAATACAACAAGTTTTCTGGTCGCTTCATAAGCTGAGTGCAGTTTAGATGCTCCTTAAGAAATATTTACTTTCCACCAACTATTCTGTTTTGCCTGGAAATAAACCATTTTAATGATAGATGCATCTCGCAAGACAGGAATATTTGAATACAGTAACATTTAGGAAGAAGCACATTTGATATTCGGGAAGTTATGTTATCACTTGCACTTAAAATGCAATTTAACCATTGAAAATTTTCCACTGCAATACAGCTGAGAGTATTCATCGGACTCGAACTTATTTACCTCTCCAGCTGCAACAGGAGCTAATGATGCCCAGCACCATATCAGAGAGAGTTTAGTGTGAAACTTTTAACATTTGCACAGGATCTAGTTGTTGGACAGATGGACAGTTTAAAGTTCTTTAATTTGAGTAGTCTAAATTTTAATTGTACAAAATATAAGGTTTTAAATCAATGTAAAAATAATAGTACTTATAATAGCACTTAAAAGAGGAGGGGGGATGTACATTAGTTTAGATTTTAACTCTTAAAAAAAAAAATTAGCCCCACAAAATCAGTTACTACCGTTTTGAAGTAAAAAGTAATTTGCTGAAACTGTCTGTCACGTTTACTATATGCTCTGTCACACTGCTGTGTTTTCTGATTAAAAACCTCTGTGAAATACGAAGTTTTTCGCGCTTTTGTTATCATTTTTTGTTCACAAGGGATCTAGAGATAATTAATCCAAGCAGCACGGCACATAGGATGCATGATTGGGGAAATAACCCGCAAAATACCTGGTATAAAGAGCACTGAAAAGCATCTGAAATATTAAAACCGAACAACGTAATCCGCAGGTCCCTGAGGTGTAGTGGCCCAAGCCACTCTCTGTCGCTATCCGTCTTCCTTTCCTCGTGTCCTGGAGGATGCTCCAAGCTTTATTCTTCTCCACAGCTAGTGCCCTGCACCCTCCTCCTAAAGTAGAAATCCGCGCTGCCACCAGGATTTCTCCCATTTGCTGCTCCAGCAGAGGTGAACCCCGAAAGGTAACATTCCTCTTTCTCACGTATTTTTCACCGGTGCTACTAAAAAAACCTCATCCCAGTCGCGTTTAGAGCTTCATCAGCATCTAATTTACGCTAGGACGCAGTTTAAGTAGTAGCTTAATAAACCAACTGCTTTTCTGAGAAAAATGCCCCGCCTAGTCAGAAATAGCGGCTTTTATGGCATGCCAGAAGTCCACGTTTAAAGCCAGGACGTGTTACACCATGGCCATGCCTATAGCGTCAGCGGGTGAGTCACGGGCGATACGAAGTCAGGTTTAAAGGTGCATTTTATTGGCTTTTACTGCTGCATTTTCTCTGTAAGCCACTCCATTAATCAGAAACAATGTTATAAATTGAAATTCCTAGTTAGATACTTTGAAAGAGAAAATTACTCTCTGTTGCCTCGGGAAGTTAATAGTTACTTAAAACAAAGAAAAAAGCCTCTGGGAAACCAAAGAAATAAATCGGCTGATGGGTTACGTGCACCTCCCAGGGTTTGCAGGTGATAAAACGTGCCTTAGCTGATGGGGTGCGCGGGGGCTCAGCTTTCCTGCAGAAGTTTTTACATTTACAGACCGAGGAGAAAATAATATAAAGCAAGTCCTATTAATAGGGAATCCCTATGCAGAAAAGTCTTCTAATATGTGGTTTCAGAAATTACTTTTGTGATTTTTTCCCTAGTCGTCTGGGAAGATCAAAAATTCCAGTTTTACAAATTCTCATTTGTGAAAAATATTTACCCGGAGACGCAAAACTGCAGCGTGTGAGATGGAACGAAATATTTTTGAGAGCTTTTATTGAGACATAAACCAGCCGAAAAGTAAGTCTCCCAGGCAGGAGCAGAGATTGTCCTGCGGCAGCCCAGGAATAGTCAATAAACAATACAGCATCGAGATGAGCTGTATAAATAGAAACAAATACAGGAAGCACAGAAAAATGTGAAGAAACAGAGTATGAAATGTGGCTGTACCAAGATTCATGCTGACCAGGCTGCTTGAGAATACAGCTGTGGGGAAAGAGCCCTCTCCCCTATTTCAGTTACACGGATGAGCAAAGCTGTTACACTTGACCTTTGTTTCTAAATCATCCTCGGCATAGCGGCGGGGGCTGCCGAATTCCCTGGGGAAAGGGGCAGATCCTGGCGGGATCCCCCGGGGAAGGGGCAGAGTTGCATCTGCGGCTGCAGCACCGAGAGAGGGTGAAAGAGCCGCTCTGTGGTTGAGGGGGGAGAGGTGCCCGGCTAAGGCAGGCACGTAAAGCTGGCCCTGCACTTACACAGGGGAGCGTAAATTCGAAGGTATTTGAAGGTGAATCCAGCTCAGTCGCCAGTGCAATAAATGACTGCACACTGAAGTACACGGAGAGACTTACTTTCCAGTTTTCAGTGTGTGCAGAGGAATTAAATCAACGCTTTCTTCCATGGTGGGATAAGAAATTAGCTTCGTAGGACATGCCATTGCATTGTTCACATGAAGAAAGAGTTAAACCAGTAGAAACCCACCACTTTTTAGCTTTTGAAAGAAAGAAAAGAGTCTCTTCTATAAATGTACCTGGCAATTCACTGGGTAGCCAGAAGCAGCCGTACATTATTATCTACTTACTAAAGTGCTGAAATTCCCTCGAAAAAGCCAAGGGAGGAAAGCTTCTGGATTTATTTGTGAGGACTGTTATACTGTGCATGAAGGGGGGGGGCGGGGGGAGAAGGGAGGGGAAGGGGGGGGGGGGGAGAAGGGAGGGGGAGAGGAAAAATAAAAAAAAAAAAAAAAAAGAAGAAGGCAAGCGAGAAAGAAAGAAAGATTTCTCACCGAGTCTGAGCAAAGCCTGCCCCAAAACACATGCATTCAAAATGTCGGTGCTCCCGGAGGGCTCCGCCGGGATCCCCGGGGAGGCGGGAGGGCCGGGGCCGGCGGAGGTGCGGGGCAGGTCGGGCGGCCCCGGGCGCGGGGCTGGGAGCGGGGCCGCCGGGCGGGGGGGGGGGCGCCCGGCTCCGAAACCGTTAGGTTGTCTTCTACGGTTCCTCTCCCCTTTCTCTTCCTGTCCAAATATTTTTAAATTTACGCGCCTTAAATAACAGTCTGATTTTATTTATTTAGTTTCCTCCGCGGGCTCGGCCGCCGCTTCGCCTCGGCCCCCCGCCGTCAGCGGCCCCGGGGGCGGCCGCGGCCCCGCGCAGCGCTCCGCGCCTGGCCGCGGCCCCGCCAGCGACCCCCGCCGCCCCCTCGCCGCCGCATTTCTTCGCATCTTGCACTGCGCCCTTTTTATTTTCCCCCCTTCTTCTCCTTTTTTTTTTTTTTTTTTTTTTTTTTTTTTTTTTCCCCTCCCTTTCCTCCCTCCCTCTCCCCGCAGCCGGGACCGGAGCGGAGCCTCTTCAGCACAACCCTGATGCCTTCGCAGCCCCGCAGCCGCAGTGAGTACAGAAAAAGGACCCGCGTCTTTGCCGGGGGGATGTTTATGACACATATTTGTGGCCGCCGCTCGGGCTGCGGCGCTCCCGCTGCAGCTCGGGGCTCTCCTCCACCCCCTACACCTTCCCCCCTCAGATTTCAGGGATGCAGAAGCATCTTCTCCCAGCGCAGCCCACGCAGAAGACAAAAAGAAGCAGGTTTGTCTCCAGGTTTCCCTAAAAAAAAATGGGAAGCAAGGTGTATCTCCCAGCGAGAGCTTTTCATGACCTTTTGTTACATTTCAAAATTACAGACAGGCAAAAAAGGCGGGGGTGGGGGGGGGCGGGAAGGAATCCACGCTTCTTGGTTTCTGTGTCACAGAGGTAGGAAATGATCTTCAAATGCAAACTCCATAGCACATTTCTGATAGCCAGGCGGGCCAGGTCTTGCTTTGCGGACCCAAATTACAGAGCATCACTCTAAAAAAATTAACTTCTGCCATGGCACTGAGTGGTAAGATGGCTTCTTGCATTTTGAAGAAGCACTAAGCACAAATCACCAGGGACATTTTACAGTGCTAAAGGTTACTGCTTGTCATTTTGCACTTTTCCCCAGAACGTTTGAATTACCTTTCAGCACAGTATCAGTTATAATTGTGCGAAGTTCATCTTAAGGAACTACGAGGAAGAGAACTCTTCTGTGTTGGATACTTCAGAATAACCCTGACCTTTCATTAGGGCTTATCCTAAAAGATAAGTCATACAGGGAAAGCAGGGAATTGGGCAAGGCACCTGCAAAAACATAAATGAAATGTCTCTACTTCTAAACTAGTGTTAAAATGGCTCCTGAATCCTACAAAACAAGAGACACCGAGGAGCTAAAAGACAAAATCTAGAGCTCGCTGGCAAAATTCAGTTTGACACACACAGGACCTTGAGTTAATTTCCTCAGCCCAAGATGCATTTTCTGCCGTTAGTCCAATCAGCACTGCTGAAACTCAAACTGCCAAAAAGGGTAAATTCCCTCTGAAAGAAACTGAATCAGCCAAAAGTATAATCAGCTTTTCAGGGAAGTATAAGACCACTGAACCATGTTTCCAGTTGCATTTCTTTGTTCCTCTGTAACTGCTTTCCGATATTTGTAGAAGTAATTAGGAGGGCCACTGGTATTTATTGGTATTTTAAATAAAAATGCTTCATTCTGTGTAGGAAGCATGAAACATTTTGCTTCACAGTGCAGCCACTAAAAGGTTAAAGTCAATTCAGAGCTCCTGGTGAAAGTTTTCCTTCAGCAGATAGTGCCTGTCAAGATGGTCTTTTTTCTCTGGTTACACCCCAAGAGCAGGAAACTGGGCAGCATTAATATGGCAACACAGCCCTCTTCACTGCTCAATATTAAGATTATTATCAACACAATGATATTTTAATGAACACTTTTATACACAGAGCTAATGAATGTTTAAAGGAAAAGATACTCACACAGCACAAACCACAATAAAATGCGATGCCCTGTAGGAACAGTGAGTATTCAAAAGCTTGTCAGGGTTTGACCCTAATGAAACACAAGACCAGTGCTGGGTACACATTGCATTTATATGCAGAGTATACTGCAGGCCGGAATAAGGGCTTCTGCTAAAGTTAATTGTAATTTTTCTGGTGAGAGAGGATGGCATGTTTAGGCCTTAAGTTATTAACATCTATTCTGATGGAAATAGGGACATTTGGATACACTTTGTCAAATCAGAAAGAGTGCTTTCTGCTTCAGACATGCTACCATCAGGTGATGTAGCACCATTTGAGTATCTGCACTTCCAAAGGAGGCATGCCAGGATGGGAGCATATTGATTGGTCACGAACTTTCCCTTCTATTTAGTGACACTGGAGAATAGGCAGAGAAGATTTTCAGAGCACACTAGCCAGCATACCAGCAGGCCTGGAAACCGAGCTGTTAATTGTAAATATTTCCTACAGAACGGATTTTTTAAAATTTTCTGAAAGGAGAAGTACACTCTGCTAGAAAAAGCAGCTTTATATCTGGACATACAATAGTCCTTGAGGGTGTGACTGTAGGTGCACAAACAAAGCTGTATTTAATCTCTCTAAGCGAATTTTATAGAGAACATCTGTGAAAGAGAAAAGTGTATTTGTTTTATGAGCACTGTAATTTTTAACAATATCACCTCCTTGCACCAACATAGATGCTCTAAATAGTGTGATGTCTGTGGATTTTTCAGATGTAATTTGTTTTAGCTCGTGCAAAATAAGGGCTAAAGGCAAAAATCTGTGCTACACTATGATACATTGACAGTATTCACAATCCAGTGCTGTATGAGTATATTGGAGTGAACAACAACTTCCCTCCTGTACGAGCATTTTAATTTATAGAAACATATTGTTTTGTGTAAAGAAGGTAGTAGATAATTAACTGTATTCATTTAATCTAATTATAGGCCTCTGAGGCAAAAAAACTGACACTTTTCATTGTGGTAAATTCAGAGAAGTTAATTGAAAAAACATTGCAGCCACGAGGCATAACATGCCCATCGTATATTTGATACTAATTCTTTTCTCAAAAATGGGATGAATCTGATGCTCGCTAGAGATAAGGATTACTGTTACTCACATGAGTAAGGCAAAGTCTGGAGAAACTCGTTATGCAATGCTGCAGTGCATTTGCACTGCAATATCTCTGAAATTCCGGAGCTAACCACAGACAACTTAATTTGCCAAATTGCGAGATGGTTTTGTAATGTACACAAGTATCTCTTACGAATTAAGAAAAGATTGAATGTATTTTTAGCTGGGACGTAGGTCAGAATTTGAACAGAGATCTGCTTCAAGAAGCAATAGGTCAATGTATCAACTCTTAGCTCTGTTTAATCTGTAGGAGGAATCAAGTAGTAACAGCAGTCTTACACCTAGGAGTTGTTATTAGGAGTGTAATTTGTGTTTTTAAGCTATCAGTGTGACAAACAAATAAATAGACAGCAAATCAATGCTTGCAAATCCCAAGTGTATACAAATAAATGTATGTCAGACTATTTGCAGTTTCAGAGTAATTTTCCCTCACCTGATACACACCAACAACTTAATCTTCTGACAGCAGTGCTACTTTCATTCTCAAAAGGAAAGTAAAGCAGCTCAGCTCTGCAAGGCTTGCCTTCCAGCTGACAGAGAACATAACAGACCAAACGTGCTGGTTGTGGGGAAGCATTTGCCATTTATGTTAAAGAATGTCCAGCTTGCAAGCTGAATCATCATGTTAGAGGCAGATATCACCATTTCCCCCTGCTTTATCGCTGGAAGAGTGTAACTCTGATGTCTCTGCAGCTCTAGCAGTGCCATGGGGCCGGACGCCTCCCACTCCACCTCCAGCTCCGCACTCCCTGGCTCTGGCCCGAGTGACCTCCATTCCTGCTCTGCCCGTGGGCACACAGGGGCCACCCAGCACACCCAGCCCTCTCCACCTCTCTCTTCCCGTGTCTTCCAGGTGGTGTTCCTAGCTGGTGGGAGAAAAAATTGAAAAGGCAGTGCTGCTCATCCCTGTGATGAAGTGTGCCTAAATACTGTGGTGATGGTGCAAGCCCTCTTAGATGACAAAGACCCACAATGAAAGGCCATCAAGTTAAGTGCAGGGCCTTGCTTTGCTCTGCCAGTGAGAGGCATTGTTGGCAGCCCTGCCTATAATTTTTAAATTACTTAAAATCTTTTAAAGGGTATTTTGCAGAAATATTTTTTTTTTACTGTGGTTAAAAAAGCAGCATATTGCACGTTAGGCATTTCAAATTTTGGTTAATGAAGTCAGAGGAAGCCTGAAAAGTAAAGACATAGTGACATGCGGTCACCTTAACTCTGGAGCTCTGGCTCAAGAGATCCAGAATATTTGATAAAGCAGGTCTCTAACAAGAAAAAAAGTGTGGCTATAGATGCTAGCCATACCTGATTCCTATTCCTATACCATTACAGATAAATCACAATTTGCATAGATATTTGACTCAAAAAATCAGCCTATTCTATGAGTTCAGTCTGCATTCACACTCTTTCTCTCCCTCGATGCTCTTAACTAATTTTCGTTTTGCCTGGCTCCTGCCTTCTCTTTCCCCTCTGTTCTGTTTTCTGGCAAATACCAGCTCTTGCTCTTCGACACTTTGTTTATCCATCCCTCCATTCCCTGGCTCCTGCCTTCTTGCACTCTTCATGCTCTATTTCAATCTCCTAGTTTCCTTTCCTTCATCAGCATCTCCACCCTCTTATTTTTTCTTAATTATTTTCCCTGGTATCTTATCTTTATCTCCATTACGCTTATTAACCCCCTTACCTAATATATCATAACCTTTCCCCATTGCCTAGCAGAATCTCATTAGGTATATATGTATAGCCTTTTTTTTTTTTTTCCCAGTCATGAAGAACTGCTTACACAACTGGTTACTGACCATGATATCCTAGTTGTCCGAGGAGAAGTCCTAGCACTGGTCAGTAATAGTTGTCTCCCTGGCACCTACCGCCCTCATCTCCTCCTTCTGCCTCTCGCTTTTTGCTCCCTCCCATGCTCTGCCGGTTACAGGCCTCCTCCCAAACTCTTTCATCTTCATGACAGCCATCCTCCTTTTCTCACTGCCTCAGCAGCAACAGAAGAGAGGGAAGATGATGCACATCGGAGGGGTACCCAGATCTCACTTAGGAATGCAGGAGGAGAAATTGCAGAGCAATGTTGCTTGGTCCCCACTGCCTCAGGCAAAGAGCATACACGGCTGCTCTGCAAAAAAGCTGCACGTGGTGCCTGCACACCGCACAGCAGCCGAACACAGAACAGGCTCCGTCAGCACAGGCTGATCTTTGGAAAATTTAGCTGCCAAAAGCTAACAATTCTTAACTGATCACGTGCAAACTGAGATTTTATGGAGTCTCATAACTTTGTTACATTTGGATGCACATCTGTGAAACCACGGCAATGGTGCTGCCAAATTCCAACTTGCTGCTCAAAAGGTACATGGATGAAACTAGACCAGTGACGGTGTTCCATT